TGAAGCATGATTGTTAGTCTATGAAATTTGGACTTACAAGTAGCAGCATGTTCACCAGGGTAAGAGACCCCCTAATGGAGTGCTCTGCCCCCTTTCCCATCTGAGATATACTATTTTAAGAATTTTCTACATCATGATTTCCAAAAATATGAAAGTGTTAATTTTTTTTGTGCCCTCCTCAATAAAACAATTCCTATGAATGCCATTGTTTACCAGGAGAATAACAACAACACTCTTTCTGGAGTACTATCAGTAAGTTATAAATTTTTAATGAAACTTCTGCAAATTGAAAAACTGAATGTACAAAGACCTGCATAACTAGGTAAACTACCATTTAGTATTTTACATATCAATATCGTTTTAAGCTTTTATTTTTTGCACAATACAAATGACGAGTAGATTAAAGTTTACTTGTTCGAGCCAGGTAATATTTTATTGTTTTTTGGATGAAAACTATCCATAACACTTAAGATTCAATCAAAGTGCTTTAAATGGAGCTTGTTACAATACAAAAAAACCAATTGTTTGTAAAGTTTTATTCATTTTTAAAGATGGACACAACAGTGAAAAATATTTCAATTATTTCATTTTATTATTTGAACTACAGTGGTAATTATTAATGTTTATAAGCAAAGTTCTTCCTGAAAAATTTAACAGTTATTTTAAAGATAAAATTATCTTTCATTTTCAACACATTTGAAATACACAATCTATCAGATATCAAACACTGCTTTCTTATTTTACCATTGGCAATGTAACTTTTGTAAATAAAAACCTAGTTTCAAGAGTTTTTCTTAAACATACTTATTCAGAATTAATTTTACTTCAAAATGCAAGTAATAGAATCTGATGCATGATGTCATAAATTGTTTTTATTTTATACAGCTACACATTAATTAATTAATTAAATACACATTAATTTAAAATCTTAAGAACATAGAAATAAAATTTGTATCTACAATAGTCTTTTGTTTTTAGGTACTCTTAGCATAGTAAAGTAATTGGTAATATTATTATGTGATCATATTTAATTAGTGATCATATGGAAAATTAAAAAATAAAGCTTTATAAAAATTTCTTTGAAACTGTAAAAATTACATCAATTACAAAAATGTTTCACTCTAAGTGTGCCAATTAAGAAACTTCTAGAGTTTCTATTTGAGGCAAAGCATTACAAGTATTATTTAGGTCATTTTCATTATTCTATTGTCCAAACACGTAATTACACCAAGAAGTAAGAAGCCATTCGTGAATTGTTTGTTATTCATGTATAAATACTACTTGAAAGAGATTCACAACACTTATATATTTCAAGGAGAAAAATTTATGAGAAAAAGTATTAAGTTGTATAGTTGAAGCTTGCATATTATGGGTTGCTACAGTTCAAGCAGACATCTCTTCAGAAATTAAAACTAAGCCTACGAGTCATTTCATCCCATTTCCTGTAATGGCAGTAGGCGTCTTAAACAACGGACACTATAGCTATAAGTATTTATCTAAATAGTATATAATCTTTTTTCCTTCCATTCAAAACAAAAACTGATTTTGAAATGTACTACCAAGAATATCTTGATTCTCCCATGAAGTTGTGGAACATTAAAGTGACATTCACCAAAGAAAAAAAATGTACACAACTTTGAAACTTCAGTTTTTTTTTCTTATTGGTACAGAAAAACAAAGCTAAATATTGCAAAAATCATCTAATTTTCAAAACGTATAACTAGGTCTCCAGTCAGAGTATGAACTGTCAAATGTTTAAAAAAAAAAAGCATAAACAAATGCATCGAAGGTCCGGAAGAAGTAAAATTATAATTTTCTGAACAGATGTACGACTTAGAAAAATGATACCATAACGCTCTATGTACAAAAAATCACCTACAAATAGGTGCACGTAACAGTTTTCAAAACAACAAATAAAGTTTGTATATGAAAAAGAGGTAAACGTAATATTTACTTTTGTTTACCAATTGAAAGAAAAAAATTATTAAAACTAAAGCTAATTTAAATTGAAATTCACCTTAACCGACAATTTTTCAAGATAGTTGTGTATCCCAGACCTACAACTATACGTATACATTTATTTATTGCACCATAGCATAGTCCATGAAGTAGAAACTAGTTTTGTAAACGATTCATCTTACAAGTACTTGCCACAACTTCGAAATATACCACTTTGATTATTCTTACAATATTCTATTTTATATATCACAAAAATTAAAAACAACTCAACTTAATTATCCTTATACAAAAGAACAGCTAATAGGCAACAAAATTATTTGAAAACAACTAATAAATGTATAAAAATTATCTGCTTGTTCATTACATAAACTTTATAAGAAATACATTAAAAAGGAACTCATAATTTAAAAAAATTTTTCCTTTAAATAATCTATCGCAAGTAGAAAAAAAAGACTTTGTAAATAATTCTTATAACAGTAGTAAAAATATAACACTGACTAAATTTGGATTACTACTCTTCTTTTGTAACGTTCGTCGGTGGGATAGTAAAGCAGCTCCAAATAAAATAATAGTAATCATGAACCAAGTAGTAGACATTATATGTACAAAAACAGAACTGTACTAGTCAATAAATCACAATATAATAAAACACAAAGCCCCGTGTATGTGGCGTTTTAAAAGGTAAAACAGTCATGGAAGTATCATAGTCAAAATAATTTAGTAATATGTTCACCATTGTCTTGTTCTTTCTTTCTCAACAAACTCTAGACTAAAATTCAATAATTAACACACGAATCACTATATATTCATACACAAAGCTCTGCGTATTTGCATTTTAAAATGTAAACAGTCTTGGAAGCGACAAATTCAAAATAATTTGGTAATATGTTCAGCATTGTCTTGTTCTTTCTAGACTAAAATTCTATAATTAACACATCAATATGGTTCATAAAACTGCAGATTAAAGATAAATATGATAAAATTAAGCTGAAAGACCAGTAATAATTCTCTCAGACTGATTGTTGGTCAAAGCAATATGAACACTTAACAGAAGGTGAAAAAATTAATATATCTAACTTTTCAAATCGGATCATTTCAAAATATTTAAAACAAATCAAACCAGCTGTACATGTATAGATTATAAGGTTCAATTAAATTTTAAATCAAACAGAAAATGGTTTATTTATTTATGTAGACTACTTCCACACACAATTAGTAATGAATATAAAAGTAAATATTTCTAAAAACAAAAGATATAATGTACTTAAACATCTGGAAAAAGAATGTACAAAAGTGCTATTCCAAGGAAATAGGTTCCAGTATATAGACTGAATTAAAAGCTAAATTCTTAATTCTAAATTAGAAAATGTTGGATCGGAGCCCTAGCTAACAAATCGAATCTCGAAGCTCCACAGGGCCTTACTGTCAAAATGTCTAATGATACTGATATACAATCACATAAAGACTAATAATTTTGTTTACATAATCTGCGAAAAGTTTTGTTACAAATTACATTTCCCACTCAAAAAATAAAGGTAGGAAGATGCATTTCAGCATTAGGTCCACATATTAACTATCTGGGCAACAATCTTGCAGAATATGATTAGGTGTCACTGAAACATCTAATTAGTCTGTTCTAGGAAAAAAAAGAACCTTAATGACATTTCAGACGTTATGTAAAGTTAAAAGGAACTGTAGTAACTGCAATGATTTTGAAATGAGGATAAAAAGATTGATTTATTTGAAGTATTATATCTTCCCAAGCTAGCAGTTATTGTCATTTAAACTAGTTTATTTTACTCATTTATAAATAAATTCTCTAGATAAAGTAATATTGTTTTCCTACAGATAAAACATTGAAATTGTTTATCTGCTTGATTAGCATGAATGAGCAAATATTAAATGCAATCAGTAGATATGCTACTTCAACAAGTGAGCATAGTTAAAACTGAATTTGATTTATACTTTGAAATATGCTACCAGTGCATAGTCACAACAAATATATAGCCTTCGTATTAATACACATATGAGGACAACAACAATATGATGCAAAAATAAAGCACGCAGTAAATTTACAAATCTTGAAGTAATTTTGGTATATATATAGTAAAAAATTAATAGTATGATTTTAAAAAAATTAACCTTCAATATCATTGAAGTACTTGAAAAAATTTGTGACCATTAAAATGATGTGGAAAAAGAAGTACAACGAAAAAGATCTTTAGTTTTTCATTTAAGAAGACTGGATCGGTTACTCAAACTCATTTCTTTGCTCTTTTTAATTATTTCGCAGTTTTTGCTTCAGATGAGATGGGTTTTGAATCCTGCTTGTCATTACTTTTCTTACTACATCTTTGATGATCTGGAGATTGTTTAAAAGGTTGAACTCCATCAACTTGGAAAGCCTATCAAAATGGTAGTGTGTATAACAGAAATTGTAGATGCTATATGGAGTATCTGGATCACTGAAAATATCAAAATCTGCAAACTGTATTTCTTCGTCTGTCTGTCGCACAAGTCCTGCAATTATACAAAATAGTAAAATTATTTCTTAAAATATTGTAACTTTATTTTCCCCAAAAAACAATGTATGAAAACAAGAGTTATGAATATACCTGTAATTGTTGAAACAACAGTAAAGAAATTTCCTATTAAAAATACCATCTTTAAAAAACAAATTTTACCATTTTGTAACTGTACACAAAGATTTTTAAATTTAAAAAATTAGTAAACTTCAAAGAAACAACTATTAGAAAAAATTCCATACACTGACTGTGGAGGATTCTACCTACAAACCATATACTATTATTTTACCCAAAGACTGACCACACACACACAGTGGTACATTTAGTAAGAGAGTGACACACAAATAAGATGGACCACACATGCACTCATGTACTCACAAATAAATGGTGACACAGATAATCAAAAACACAGAAATAATAAATTTGGTTTCAGTAAATTATACGAATTAAAATCTTTTGTAAATGCTCTTACATGTTGCCATCCTCCAGTGATGGAGATTTTGAAATTCAAAGTAAATACAGACACGTTTGTTATGCTTTGTTTCAAAGAAATTATTTTGAATATGTGAAATGTTAAACTCCTTGTGAGTTATCAAATTATAGTTTGTGACTGACATTTTCAAACTTATAGCATGACTTGTAGACAAGTTTAGATAAATTAACCCAAATCGTTTCTCAACAACATTTTTTCTATATACACTGAATAAGATTAATCATTATAAATACTTTTGTTTTATTTTTGTACTTTAGATTATGAAACAAAACTTTACAAAAGAATATTTTCTAAGTTTTTATCAAGCCTGCTAACTTACCTGGTTGTTTGAATTTCCGAAAGTTTATGTTTACTAGAGGAAAGTGGAGGATAATGGGACAAGAAATGTCATCTGGATTGTCAAAGATGTAACATTCTCTCATTGGTTCTTTAATCAACTGCTCAACACGATCTTTAATAGGTGGAAACAGAAAGCCATTTCTTTGAGCCCATTGTTCAGATTGTAACAGTTCCTAGTTTTGTAAATATACGAAAAATTTCAACTACTTATTTTTTTTTATGATAGACACAAAACAAATGAGCAAAAATAGTTAAATCATACATCTAAGAAATATTTAATTATTCACTTTATCTAATTCATCTTAAGATAGGTTACTTTATTCTTGGATTTATATAAGAATCTATTACATTTACATGCTATTAGGTTTTAGCATTACTTTGAAACTTAAGATATATTTTCATTAAAATTGAATAGAATGTGGAAGTTCTATTGTTTGTCATTAAACATATCACCAAATTTAGTACGTGACTTTGTAAAATGTTTTGATGACGTGTACTGCCTTAACTGTCTCCACATTCACACCTGTGTAGACTTGGATTTCCCACCATGCACACAGATGGAACTTTTGAGAATTTGGTGGCAGGAGAGTATGGGTTATAAAAATGATCAAGTCAAGTACGCCTATTACATTCGTGATTCAATGTCACTGTCAGTTTGATGTTTTTATCATAAAACCAGGATGTTTGTGTCCCAAAAACTTTTCTTGAAACACTGGGACAAATACCAGAAAAATGGAATTGTCCCAGCAAAACTGGAATGTTTGGTCACCCTACAGTGCAATTAGAAATATTCTGTATTATTCTAGAAATCCTATATTAAAAAAAGTACTGTTGTAATAAAGATACCAATTTAACTGTAAATGCTTCGTAGGTCTTTGCTTGTACATTATAAGGCTTAGGTAGCATGTCTGCCTAGTATGTAGAATTATACACAGACTGTTCTATACATTAAAATAATTTTACTTTCAAACTTTCCACCCTCTAACCAAAGCCTTCACTTGGCAAAAATGTACTGAGCAATACAAATTTGTTTATCTGTGGAACTCTGCTTTAAAACAGGTGTCTACGCAACAACTAACATCTGGTATTAGATTTATTAATCATATAGAAATTATGACTAACAGAGAATTAACAGTCAAAGATTTAGGTTTTTACATATACTGAATAAACAAAATTCTCGGTCTTTTTACCTGTATAACAGTATCAAAATCTTATATACACTGTTGCTTAACAATATTTAAAAATCAATTACTTTAAAATAAAACCTTAGGAAAATACAACTATAGAAAAATGAATTATTTATACTTCAAATAATACATTATAGAATTAATTTTACAAGGATACCATGACAAGTTATATGTTTTATATATTTGATAAGTGGTTCCCATGTAGTATTGAGTAGTTGTTGGCAGTTATTTTGATTAATACCTGCTGGTGGTCCACTGTTTTGTGCTTTGATGGCAATAACTTGATTTTTCTCAGTTTGATGTTTTACTCTTTATTATTTCTGCATCTTTTAAATCTATTTATTGTTAATTTTCCTGAACATATAAACCTACAGCTGATGTGTTTATAACACAGTTCTTAATATCTCTGGTGTTCTTTGAACCTTCTGTAAATGGCATTACATTCCCCAATGTATTGTTTATTATGCTCACACCAAGTTCTACAAACCAATTTCTTTGTGAGAGGCCTGGTATAATACTACATATTACTTTACCTACGTTAGAAGTCGTAAAAACACAATTATATCTTATTGTGAGTAGAAAGCTCTATATCATATATTAGAGATTCTTTTACAGCTTTCCTGAGATGGCCTACATGAAGTCTAATTTGTTACAACTGCAAACTTTCAATACCTAATAATTCTAGAACCACTGATATTCTAACAATATCCTTATTTAAGGTGTCAGAAAAGGTAAATGTCCAAGATCATCATTTCACTTGGATGTATAGTAATATGTTACTAATGTATTAGTGGCAGTATTAATATCAAGTGTGCTAATTTGTGTTATTAGCTTACAGTTTCTTTAGTTAAAATATATATAACATTTAAAGTACTGACCTTGACATGCATCCTACCCCTATTCTCTGTTTTTAATTTAAAAGGGAACATGAAATGGAAATTAAACCCTAAAGTTCCCCAGACACCATTCTCTGACTCCTAAGTTTGACCTTGATTAGTCCTGAATAAATGGTCAAAGTGAAACTAAGGTTGCACATGAAAATAGAAGGTCAAGAATCACTCACCTTTAACGTTATTTGCAAGGTATGAGCTTATCTATGCTAAACTAAGTAACTTGTGGAAGTAGGAATTAATCACACTATCATTCAAATTTTAAAAAATTTGCACATAAATTAAAAAATAAAAAATGGAGATTTACCATATGCTATTCTCGAGTAGCTCTTAGTATGAATGGAATGCTCAACTATTACTATTCTCTGTGGGCGGTATAAGAAGCTAAGAGCTTTGGCTCTGAGTGAAGCCAAAAGTGCAACACAAATAACCTCTTCAAAGCCCATGAAATAATTTAAATTGATAGATTAACTTAAACTTTTCCTGTCACTAGGTGTGGGTACTTTTGCTTGTATTTAAATGATTTGGAGAACAGCCAAAATGTTCATAATCCATGTCTCCACAGTTGATCATGCTTTATCTGATGACTTTGGATCCTGACAATAGCCCTACAATTTAGTTTCCATTGCAAAAGGCTCTGTTATGAATCTGTCTTGGCTAAAGCACACCAGTACTTCCTGCTTGCTTTTCATAATCCATCTAGCATAACAGGAGGATGGTTTCCAGCACCTGTTTGAAGAGTGTGATCGCACATAAATTCCATATGTGCTGAAACTGACAACTCAACTAGTATATCTTCATTTGGTATAGTACAAATACTCATTTCATTCCCTAGCTGCTTGAGGTATGCAAACAGTTGAACAAATGTGTCATGGAAACAATGCGTGTTTCCACTCCACCTCGAGTGATTCTCGTGTGCTGATCTGCATTTTAAAAATGGTTTTATTATGTTTTACTCAACCCATTGCATTACAGATGTAGAAAAAATAAGTTAATTCCTTAAATTCAAGTCACAATACATTTCTTGGGAAAGAGTTTGTTTATATTTGCTTATTTAATATTTTTGTTTTGAAAATGGATCTTTTTATTTTCTTCCAATACATTACCAGGTACTATAAATTAATTTCTTTTTTTGCATTTTGTCACTTGAATAGAATTTGGGATTTCTTAAAATAGTGAACAAATATTTTTTCAGTTTAACTTTTATCATACCGGAAGTAATAATCAAAGAAAGAAATTAAACCTCTTTTACTAGGTTAATCAATTCTGAGTTCTCCCTTACATGTAAATTTTCTTTAAAACAATTACTTCTATCAATAATAGCTGAAGCTGGACTTAAACTACAAAACTGCATCTGTATCAAGTTATTTTTCTCACGATTTCTCAAGAAAGACATATCTCGGATTCAATATAACGAGTCTTTTTTAAAGTCAACAAATTTATTTCTTACCTTAAATGGATATGCGTCGTCAGAGGGTCGTCCACTGAAGTCAAAAGTTAGGAAAATATTCACTTTTCTGGAAGGTCTTAACAACAAGGGGAATGGAAGGTTAAAGGTCAGACCTCCATCAACCAAGTAAAGTGATTTAGTCTGTGTGTTAGCAGGATGATGGATCCCTTTGTACCACATATCTAATGAAAGAATCATATCAATTATGGATTACAATCTAGTGTAAATGTGTGTAAACAGATTTACTACATAATACAAGTGTAATAGTGTCACTAAAAGTTTGAGTGACACGAGTTTAAGGGGTTTTACCCAATACTATAGTCTGTAAAGTCAGCCAAGTTATAGCAATACATGTTTAATCCCAAGCCTTGTAAGTATTGGCTGGATTACAGTACTATGTGCTGAATACCAGAGTTCATAAGACTCACTTTGTTACAGCACTACATGCTCAGAACAAGAGCTCATAAGGCCAGCTGGGTTACAGCACTACAATGCTTTCTTCTCACTAAGAAGTCTATTACACTAGTAAAGAATGATGAGATTTAAGTTACTATAAGTGTTATTCTGATGTAATGTCACATATTATTACATAATACAAGTGTAATAGTGTCACTAAAAGTTTGAGTGACACGAGTTTAAGGGGTTTTACCCAATACTTTCTGATGTAATGTCACACGCGTATTAATATAGAGTAGTTACACCTTTCAGAGGTAGAAAAAAAAAGGTTAGAGCTAGATTATAAACTTTATGTAAAAACCATACAAAACTTTATTTAAAATTTTATAATGCAGAATGAACATATGGCACCACTATCAAATACATTAGGGATAATCCATGAACACTTCACTTCTGCTATGAAAGAACATTCTGTTAAAAGTATATATAATGCTGTATTTCATTTTCCTTTTTCAATTCCACATATAAATCAGCAGAATCTTAAATTTATATTAATAAAAATAAGCTGTTATATGCCGAGTTGTCAATGCTATACAGTTTTAAAAGGCTTCTATTTATTCTCCATTTTGTAACAATGGAGCTTAGATGAAGTGAAATTTACAGAAATCGGTGATTTTTAACATTAAATATGACAAAGATGTGCTGCCATTTCTTCAGAGTTTGGTGCCTTCCATGTATTCTACAAGTTCAAAATTAGGGACAACTGGAAAAGGTAGCCCTTAAGCCTTTAACTGCTTCTAATGAGTATACTTGGTTCTCGTAAATTCCTGTTGTGCTCTGATTGAATATACTTGATTTGGGTTTTCTGTCAATCATTGCTCCTACCAAGTAAATTAGATCAAGATTAATAGCAGTTCTGACATCTATCGTACTTTTGTCAGTATAAATTATTTCTTTCTTCTGCTTTATTTGAAGTACCTACATTGTCTTAAGTCTGCACTGTTCCAGAGCATGGTAGAATGTACCCAATCACTGCATCTCACAACAGAAAGAGAAAGCATTATATTCTTACTTACAAGTCTCGAATCTGATTTGGAGGAAGGTTCAGAATTTGAAATGGATAAGGAATACAGAAATAGGAATAAAAGTGAATGCCCCACACCTGTTGTGCTGACATTGAAAACAAGGCTGCAAATAAAAAAACAAAGTATGTTTTCATGGAAAAAGGAGATTTGCTACTGAAAGTGTAAACATTTAACATAAGAAGTTTGACGAAAACACAACACACACACGTGAAATGTTTGAACATTGTCTCTCCTGCATTTGCATGAACTATTGCAGATTGAACATTTTGTCTCTCCTGTATTTGCATGAACTATTGCAGATATACATATATATATATATATATATATATATATATATATATATATA